CAAACACAGGATGTACGTGGTTCACCCAGATTGGCTACGTCTACGGAGTAGAGGAGTTCTTATTAGTAGTGAAGGGCTTACACAAGTACAAAGGATCAAGCTCTCAATTTAGTGAGTTCTTGTGAATGATTTAACACAAATGGCATTAGGCCATATTGTGGGGGAATGACCCCTATTTATAGAAAACTTGTAGCTTTGTCACATTGACATGTGTCATGTTATGATTGGTTCTTGATGTCGACACGTGCTGCGCTCTGATTGGCTTCTAATCTTGACACGTGTCGAGTAGTGATTGGCCTCCTGGTCGGAGGGGAACTCTTCTGGGTCCTTGACAGTATAGCGTTGGCCGGTGCTCGGTAGTTTCGGGATTGGTCAAGTATGGTACAAACAGTTTTAATATTGTTTTCAATTATCATGAACATGTGGAACTAATTTCTTTTTAGTTAGAGGTAAATTTGAAGCCATGATTATATGTTTTATATGAATTGATTACATCCAGTTATTGTTTCTTGAGTCTTGAATGTGATTTGCTTATCTGAGTTATCAAAACTTATTTATGTATGTTGATTGAGGATGCATACTTAATTTTCTTGCATAAACTTGATGCTAGAGTATAAGGGAGTTCCACTTAATCGTTATGAACTTATATTCACAAGTAGTAAAAGTCACTAATCATGATTGTGTTACGTGAATCCTAGGCAGGAGTATCATGTTTTTCATAGTTACGAATGCCTCGTCAATACTTATGGTTTTCAAGGAACTTAATGACCTTTGATATGTCTCTTTATCATGCTTTTCATAGTTAGGGAACTTGATAAGGATAATTTGGTTGTGATGCGTATCCAGTCCAATTCAATGAGTTAAGGAAAATCTAATGGTTAATTCGTGTTGTCACGTTTAACTTGGGGTGTTGTCATTCATGGTTTAAGGGAACAATACTGGAAACTGGTTTATATGCATATGTCATGTGTGGAAAAGGATTCTCTAGCTAAGTTTTCACCATTCAAATCATCTAATTTACTTTGTTTTGCAATTTGTTTAGTTTAGTTAAATTTCGTCCAAATCAATCCCCATTTTAATTAAATGTCTTAGATTAGTTAGAAAAGTGTTTAAATCTATCCAAATTAGTGTTTTGAGTCCTACTAGTCTTAAATTCGTCCAAATAACTCCTTAGAGTCTGTTTTGAGTCTTTTTTATTGTTTGTTGCTGTTTTGAGTGTTTTGAGTCTATAGAGTCTAATTTAGTGTTTTTGAGTCTTATTTGTGTTGATTAGCATCCCTAGTTAATGACCGGTCTAGAACGATCCCTACTTGCTTAATACTACAATTACATGTTTAATAGGGTTTAATTTATATGTCAAGTTAATTTTCACATCATCTGGGCCCAAGCCCAGACAACCCTAAACCCATCCAACCCAAAGCCTTTGTCCTTATAACCCATCTAACCTAAACCCAAAAACCCTAGGACCCATGACCGGGTTTGACTTCAACCCATTGACCCGTTTGACCTGTTGACCCGGTTGACCTTTGACCTGGTCAACGTTGATAGTTGACCGTTGACTTTGACTTTTGGGTTGACTTTCAGTTTTCGTCCGAGACCCCTCCTAGGCTAATTTCAACGTCCTAGACCCGTTTCCGATGTCCGTTTTCTCAAATTAAATCGATTGAGTAGAGTTTGACTAAATATACCATTTTTGTGCTTAAGGGCAATTATTGTGGCTTTTGCATATTTGCTAGCTGCGCGGCTTTTCGATAGCGAAGTATTGTGAGTGGACCCTTTCTAAAATTATATGATTTTATGGTTTAATTGTATAAATGAATTGCATGCCTTACGAGTTTATGAACTGATTTTATGTTAAGCATGTTTATTGAAATGTTGATTATCGTCTCATCATTTTTTTTGTGAGGAAATAATTGTTAGCCTATATTGAGGTATATTTTGATATATCATATTTTTATAAAAACCATGATCTGGTAGACTATCTGATTGATAACGATATGATGCTAGAACATGTTTTCGAAAACCCCTCTTCATAGTATAGATGATTGATGATTTTATACTATGAAGTGAATTTCTGAGAGACGTAACTATTTGTACGTACCTAGTGTTGGCATTTAGGCCGGGAGAAATAATCTCTAGCGAAAGGCTGAGCGACACGGTGACAGACATTGGGCTGGGAGGAAGTTATCTCTAGCTACGGGCACAGAGACTTAGGTGCAGGCATTGGGCCGAGAGTATTATTATTCAGTGATCCTACTAGCAGCACACCACGCTTACGAGACGATCTATGATGTTTTTCCGCGTTATACCTGTTGAGATGTTTTATGGCATGCTAGAGTTTCAGAAAACCTATCACTTATTATGGTAGTAGTTTTCATTATATATAAACCTGGGGGTTACTATGTTCATAACTGTTTTCGTATTATGCATATATATATATGAACTTGGTCCACTCACCCTTGTTTTGCACCCCCTTTCAGAATTTAGAATCGAGGCATACGATCCCGACATCAACATTTTTGCATTGGCATATTCAAGTCTAGGACCCACATCCTTTTATTTATTAAATTTTACATTAATTCTTTTAGAAATCTAGTTAGTTGTATGCTCTGAATACATTCCTAAATTATTAATTCATGTATTTTAAATTCATAACCCTTATTTATTTCTTATTCTTAGCTTTTGTATCAATTAATGGCTTTTGTCACCCTTGGGTGTCGGCCAGCACGTGTCTATCCTAGTATTCGAGGAATATCAGGGTCGGGGCGTGTCAGCAGGCTTCAATTTCATAGGTAGAAAACTGAAAATGGTTGGGTATCGAGCTCAAAATAAGCTCTGAAGAAAGTTGGGGCTGCAACCTGCAAATCTGCAAGCTTTGCGAAGAAGACTAGTACGATGGTACTCGCATGCACGTGGGCACATGCGAGGGGCCACCGCAAGTGGCGCATGCAGCGAATCCCGAGGTCCCTCCTTAAGTTTCTCGACGTGCCAAACTCGAATCTGCCATTCATTTTTTAGAATTTCGATCGTTCTAAAATAGTTGTTTTATTAGCTGTACTTTGTACGAAAATGCGTATTTACGTTAGTACGTTATATATTTATGTGAATGGTTTTGTTTCTAGGTGAAACGCATTGCAAGGATCTTCGATGCCCGCGAGACGGGTTCGAACCGACTACATGATTTGTGAGTAGGTCTTTACTTCTAAATATTACATATTTATTTATTTTTCATTTATATATTTAATAACGAATTTTCTACGCACACCTAAATTATATTAACGTTTATAAGAATTAGCGTATTAACGGAATTTACGAAATTTTGCTAAATCCTACGGGATGCACAGGTAGGCGAACTATTATGGGATTTTATTTACGATCATAATTAATATTTTATTGATTAGTATTATGTCTACATGAATTATTGATTTACCGCTGCATGATAGTATTTACGTTATCTACTCATCGTGTGTTGCACTAGTGTTAGTACTCGTCCGGGTTAGGGCCAGGCTTCACGTGTATGTTCACATCCTACTGTACGCTCACTTTAGATTCATTGTAGGTGCTAATCCTGTCCTAGATTGCTATAGGCAATTAGGACTCGTATGTGATGCGCATAGCACCAATCTTCATGTGATTGTAGTACTAGAGCGTAAGTCACTATTTCACCCAGTCTTTTCATGTCAGAATACCTCTACATGAACTCGTGTGTCAACATATGTCGATGAGCATCCGATATTATATCTTTGTTCATTCAAGTTATTGTGATTATCGGTTTTCATGCATATTATATGTTGAATATTGTGAATTGTTGCATTCTAGTGATATTATGGTTTAAGATAAGCGTTTCCATACTATATGTAATATATATATATATATATATATATATATATATTTTGAAACTATACTTGTTTTACGGCGAGGGGTTATTACATTTTCGAAAAGGTTTTATAAAGCTTTATTTTCAAGCCCACTCACCAATTTTTTGGCCCCTCGAGGTTTTAGTGGCAGAGCTTTCGTGTCGACAAGAATTCTTAACAAATCTTGGTTTAGGAGATTACCTTCGACGATATAATTCTCATTCTACTTTACTGTACTTTACTTATACTTTGACGTCACGTGTGAAATGAGTTCATTCCCGCTCACAAGCACACTCTTACATTTAGGCACTTTTAGTTTTACATTTACTCACATTTCCACATCACTACACTTTATGGCTTCATCACCTTCTTGGTATCAACATGCACAACTCGATTTGGAGTCCAGGTGGACATTCCGATTCGAGGTGTGTCAAATTTGTCATCTCTCCCTAACTCTGTTAAGTTTTCCATCCAATATAAGTCATGTGCCTCGCACATGACTTGTGTTTAGGGTTATTTTGGTCATTCTAATACCTTACTTCCCTTTTATTAATTGTATTCGACAAAAAACTGTAGGGTTTCTCAGGCAATGGAACAATATTTTCTATATGATAGCAATGAAATGGTCATGCAATGCACTCTCTTCTGGTTATTCCAAATATGTAATGATACACAAATGGGAGTTTGGATTTTAGCATGTCATGAAGACATAATTTCATACGGACTCTATATAAATGAGAAACAGGTTGACGTTTTGTGCCATAAATGGAGTTGTAGATGCATATGCGCTAAAGAAAAGTAAAAAAAATTAAGGGTTGAACAACGTAAAAGTAAAAAACTTGTGAAAAGATGTTAAAATAACCTAAATAACCCTACACACAAGTCATGTGCGAGACACATATGACTTATATTGTATGGAAAGCTTAACAAAGTTGGGTTGAGATGACAAATTAATAATTTTGTAAAGCTCGTATGACAAATTGCTTAAAATTTTAGTTTATATGACAAATTGAAAAGTATGAACAAGTTCATATGACATTTCAAAAATTTTCCTATCATTTTAATATGTAGTGTGTTTATATTTGGTAATTAATCAAAGTAAGCCCTTTTAGTAGAACATCTTATATCATTTTATGTCTTAAGAATTAAACATACAATTAAAATGGAGGACCTTTGAACAAAATTATGTAAAGAAAAAGAATTGAAAAAAAATTTTAAAAAAAAAGTACAAGTGTATTCGCAAGTGAGAAGAGTGGCAAAATTTGGCTCACGAGTAGCTATTTTTCTCGTGGGACCCACTACTTATTGGGGCTAAATGTTGCCTAATTTTTTGCTACCAAAGAAAGGAAGTTGCTAGCCCAAGTGGTAAGTCTAACCCTATTTTCCAGCTTAATGGAGATGAAATGTCTTACTTGAGCTTCATATGTAATAGCTTCATAGAGGATAAAGCCCCCATTGGCATCAGCCTGTAAGGCAAGCACATCAGCATGGCATACAAATTCATCACACAAATTTGGCATACAAATTCATCACATCCATATCTCGACCTGAGACGAAGAAACCCAACGATAAAATCAATCGGTGGAGTAATGCTTTATCCTGTCCAAACCAACAATCTTTTCGTTCTAACTCCTAAGCAAAACATAATACACACAAATACACAAAAATGAATGGATTTCCTACCTAATTTGATCTTTGAAGTAGACAAAGTATCTAACAAGAACTGCATTTGTGCAAGAGCATTGGAGCACTCATGCGAGCTTCTAGTTGCTTAAATCCTGGAAGAACTCTGGAGGTATTGATGGGGGACAGTACTTCTTCGCCACGAACTTGTACTGAAACAGATAGAAATGTCTCAGATTGGATCAAAATATTTGAACATGACAAATTGATTCTCAAATTCACTAAAATGCCATAATTGATTCTCAAATTCGAAGATAATATAACTTCATGAAAGTAATGTGGTTGTCAATTATAAGGTATCGCTACTTAAAATCGTTTTCTACTAATATATAGATATTCAGTTTAAATAATACACTTCGGTTTTTTATTTCTCGCTTATCTCGTCATTGCATGTTTGTAGAAATGTGATCATCAAAGGAAATCTAATTTGAAAGAAGACAGAGAAGCAATCACAAGGGGCAGTGCAACATGTTCTAAACTTCTTATTGCCACTTCACTAGGAGAGTTGAAAAAGGAGAGAGGTGTTCTCGTCATACTTTATGTTGACAGTACTTCTCCCTAACTGCAGGTAAGTTTGAACCACAGCCATTACAACACAGTTGATGCAGCGCTTTTACACAATCAAACAAATCAGAGGCTTGGTAAAGTGTGTAGTGTCTCAACGTAGAATTCTGGAACATAAAATAAGTGTATAAGACACGACAGTTAAAAATGTCGCAGCAAGAATATAAAATACTGTTTTTCAAATACTCTCATACGTAACAGCATACCCAAGGTTTTTTCAAAGGGGAAAGAATATACTTTGCCAAGAAGGCAGCAGAAGCAGCTATTAGAGATGGGGCATAACAAAGCATGCTATATTCTAGAAGAGACAACTCTGTGATGTAGGAGGCCAAGCACCGGAAATGCTCTGATGGAACCTAGGAAAAGTTGCACGTTCAACAATACACATTATCAGGATTTTATCAGCACCATAAGACAAAAAGTCTCAGTAGTACTAAAATTTAGTAAAACTAGTATATACAACACAATGACATCAAAAGACGTCAGCAGACAAAACATTCAATTATCCTGCATTCAAGTCAAATTCAGATGAGAAAACAACTTCAATGGTCAATGAATAACAACTTGTAACAAACTTCATAACCTAAAGCATGTTCGGACATCTTATGATTGGAGGAAATTAAACAAAAAAACGCTAGTCGAAGACAAATACCTTACTGGTCTTTTGAGCAGCAAAACAAAATCGCCTGGAAAATTTATGATCCAGAAATCAATGTCCATTGGGAAAAAAAAAAGAAAAAGTAGCAAACTCTCTTGTTTGAGTGAAAGTAACAAAGCTACACATCACCTCAAAAAGCACAAGGCCGTTGGAGCTGTCATTTCAAACTTCAAGTGATTCAGGACAGAGGATTCCATTTGCAAAACCTGCATCCCGGTAATTGATCAGTATTATTTAGAGTAAAAAGCCAACTCAAACAAGCACCTATCACTCCATCTAAGATTAGCAAAAATAAAATCCCAACCTCCTTTTTGGTGTATGTGTTGTCCGTAATGTAACAGAACTGTTCCACCTCGGGAGCAACAATCTCCTCGTATTTACTGGACAGATTGTCATCATTAAGTTATAATGCATCATTCATATACTTTTATATATTTATAGAGTCAAACACATCCGCATGCCTCAAGACAAAATGAAGTAAATGAAAATCTTACGCTGCAATCATCATGCAGGCAACCCCCAGCAACTGCAATTGTTTTCTATTCATCACATTGCCAGAAAGATAACGGTCTACATAGTTGATAGTCAGAAATAGAGTTTCTGGTACAAGCCTGAACTCTTCAGCAACCTGTAAGTCATGATTACCATCAATCAAACAGAAATTGAGGATATTGACAGATGAGCTTTTTTTTATAATGCAAGGAAAACCCACTGTTCAAGATATGTAATGGTTGTTAAACATTAAACAAATCCAGACAGTGGGTTTACCTCTACTAGCCAATCAATCAGAATAGCACGCATGCCGGCATTAATGTCTTTCTGGATTGTTTCCATAAAGTCCATGGAGGGCCTTCTATTTTCCTGAGACCCAAGAAATCGAATCAATCGCATTACACAAGTGGATGCAAGAAAGGGGAAGTTATAAATAACTTGATAAGATTGTTGCAAGAACTTATTCTACAGACAAACTTGTACATGAAATGTGCAGACTAATATCCAATTTGGAGATGGGGTTCAAATTAAACAAGTTAGCTAATTCACTAATTGGATTTTAATGCAATAATACTACAAGAAAATAGGTTTACCAAAATACAGGACTATGTCCTACATCTTATGAAATTCTTGTCCAAGTGAATTTCATCCATCCATACAATTTTCCCATTATGTCAATTTTTTTCCTTTTGACATTCTGTATTCTTAAACTAGCATAGACAAATCTTATAGTGAGATATAACATTAATTTACAGTTAGTATCCACCAAAAAAAATGACAAACAAAAATGACCATGTATCAGAATAATTGACAACTAGTTTATAAGATATTGATAAAGTTTGTCAGTTTACAATAATAACTAGAATCTTAATTTGTTAGGACGCAAACAATATAATGTTTATATTCTGAAAGATCTCAAGAGTGGGGTTCTGATCTCCCATGTGAGCCTCTTTCCACCAGTACAGAGACCAAAGGTGGAAATTCAACATTTTATAGAGAGGTTGCAACTGCACTAACTGGAACTCAAGATCAACTATTCCAGTAGCATGTTAAATGATTTGTTAGGATGTAAGCCAACTACCATTTTATATACTTTACCTAAAAAGAAAAAAAAAAGTCATGCATGTACAATTTAATGCAATTCCATAAAAGTAACCTATTGCATACAAGCATTTCATATCCCACTTTAACAGTCAGTTAATCACGTTGGCTTCCAAATAGCTGTTACTAAGGACATGCTCTAATTTTTACAACCAAAAACCAATTTACCCCTTAAGATGTTAGCTTCGTTAAAGTAATTTACAACATCATGCCTGTTTAAACTGGTTGTGCTTACAATCCAGAAGAAGTAAAACTGACAGAATGAAAATTATGCTGCTGCAACTACAGAAATCAAATTGTGTAACATGTTTATGAGACTCTTGTCCAACTGCAACCCACTAAGAATAGCATGCAGTAAGCATGTCATTTCTAAATGACCCAACAAATATTAGTAGATTCGAAGAAAACTTCATAAGAAGGTAAGTAAATGTGTAAAAAGTGGTTACAGTAATATACAGGAAAGCAGTGTCAAACCTCAGATTCACGCAAGTGCTTGTATATGTCAGGAGCAATGGCTGCACAAAACTGTGGATCCATAAAATTGTCATCCATAGCAACGACTTTATCTGTTGCCTCCATATCGAAAAATATATCTTTCTTCCAGATATTGGCTGAAATCAAGATTCAAAAATGATATATTTTAGAGGGCAGAAAATAATATTTCTTGATAAAAAAAGGTTAAGTAATGTATCATGGCTAACAACCACACTGATCATGATGTATACCATGTCTCTTTTAACAAATTAAATGAGGGAGGATCCTCAACTAAAACAAACAGCAGAGAAAGAGAGAGAGAGAGAGGAAGAAGAAAACAATCTTTAAAAGAAGAAACCTTCTTTTCCTGGATGGTTCGAAATGAATAGGCTCTTAGTTGTTTTCTTCTCAATCCATTTAACATCTGAAACATCCTCATTGTCAATATATTCAAATTCTGGAGAATTTAACGAATCACATGTAGACATGCTCTCATCCAAAGAAACTGAAGCACTAACTGATCTGCTTGGAGATGCATCCCAGCTTCTGAATGCATGATTTATGCAACTGAGAGCAGGAAGGACAGTACCACTGCTGCTTGGAGAAGGATCAGTGCAAATTACTTTGATAGCCGGATCAGTTCCTGAGAATGATGTATCACTGAAAGGAACCAGGATGTTTGATTTTGCACTCAACGATGCTTGAAAGACATTCCCTGACAAGCCAGTATTACTCGTGCAAGATGACACTTCCTTTGTCGTCTTAGCAGTCGTCTTATTGGCAATCGTCTTAGCAATTTTATTTGTACATGGCACCTTCAAGTATACAACACAGTCAATCTCTTTATCAAAAAATTATTGTCAATACACCTATACACCGGTAGTAAGGTCAAAAAGCATTGACTTCTCCATGTTAACACAAATTGAAATATCACAAAACTTTACTATATCCATAAACTGAAAGGCAATTTGATGTAATCACTCTACAAACATTTTGTGTAGACAAAGATAGGTATTTAATTATTTAACCAGCTGGTAAATGACATACCAAATTTATGCATATATGAAAGAATTAAATATATACATTAATCTCTCATCTGCATTTCGAACATACAATAGTTAATATTCCTAGAAGAATTACCTTGACCTAATTTATGTGATTTATGCTGTCAAAATTGATTAAATATACATTAAAATGAAGATTAAGCATCTTGAACTAGATATTGTTTTTTTTTTAAGAAATCAACGAACCCATTTTACTAAACCAATCAAATCGCCCCAATTTCCTGTAGAAACTCGAAACCACTTCAAATAATTTATCAAAGAACAAAAAATAATTCAACATTTGGGTTACGTACAAAGCAATATTCAAGGTTCAGGTAATTTCAACGTTTTCTTTTCTTTTCTTTTTTTTTTTTTTTTGTCGAAGACTTTATTTCTAATTCTGAGGAAACAAGAAATTCAACATTTCAAGAAACAGAATCAAATAATAATTAATATATTAATTAATCACGTAACGAGGACGAAGAGTAGACGAACCATGGGCTTCGACGAAGCTAAAGTCGGTGGAACGCTTTGACACCTATTCCTCTGGTTCGTGACGTCAGCGAGAGCAGTTCGCTTCTTCAGCACTTGGGTCTTGGCCGCCATGGGCTTCTTGTCCGGATGATGCGAAATCGAGGGCTTCTTTGTCTCCGACAACGAGGATGACAATGGCGGTTGACGGCGATTCCGGGTCGACATTTTCAGGCCAAACCCTAATCGAATTGCGTTGCAAGAAAGCCAATGTGGTTTAACTTCTCAAAGAAGTCACAGAGAGAGAGAGAGAGAGAGAGAGAGAGAGAGATTTAATTGAAGCGCGAAGTCGTAGGGATTTCGAAGGCGGAGTGATCGTGACCGCCTGATGATTGTTGGCGAAAAATGCTTTGTAAGTCAACGTCTTTATCAAATCTTTTTTTCAACTCTTTCTTTTTTCTTTTTTTTCTTTTTTTTGTTAAAAAGAAAAAAAAAGAAAAAAAAAGCCTGAAAACGAGAAACCTCGAGTACAGCTAGTTCCAGTACAATAAAAAAGAAAGTAGGAGTGATCCCACACATGAGTGCTCTAGATAGAAAGACCAATTCTAGTCATAGCGTTCGCAAGGAAATTTGTTTCTCTCAAGGCATGCTTCCAAGGGATTGTATCGAAGGAATCAGCCAGCAAATTGATGTCTTCCAATATTTTTGAGCCTCCAGAGAATGTGGCATTTTTCGAGACAACATCAATGATCAACTTTGAATCTACTTGAACAGAAACTTCTCGCCTCAACAATAAAGATCATGTTGTGGTCGATATTTCTCGCCCCAACAATGACAGGGTACCCTAGGTCATCCCGAGTAACAAAGGCAGCAGATGCTTTATCCCCAGAAACATATCTAACAAAATTAGTCTTGAAAAATCATTGCTCACCACCGCTGCTAAAATAGGACTTTAGCAGGATGAGGAAATTGGTCTAACCAATTCAATATGTTTAGGGGGTAGAAACTCCCAATCGTGGTATATCTCGTATTAAACTCCAAATAGCGTGGGCAAAGTTGCACTGTAGAGATATATGGTTTTGATCTTCCTCCTCAAAGCCACAAAAAGCATAGGATGCATCAATATTAGCCTCAAACATACTCGGTCTTTTCCTAGTTTGTAGCCTACTAGTCTTTCACGAATAAATAACTAGCACAAAGCTTAACTTTCTGCGGGATATTTAACTTCCAAACTTTATTAAAAAAATATTTGCGTCGAATGACTTTTCAAGTTACTCTTTTCGATCCAGGTAGCAAAGTTAACAGAAAACTCACCATTTGTAGCGTGGCCCAAACATGGCAATCATCCCAGTCATGAATTGGCAAAAATTGGAGATATACCCTGAATATCAATCTTTGGAAGAAACCATTCAGGACAATGTCTAAATGTTTGGTTAAGTCTAATACATCAAGAGGGCAAAGTTACTTTTAGGACTATCTCAATGAACGATATACATCCAAATAATGAGTCCATGGAGAATGGCTCGATGGAAGAAGTAATCTAAAGATGTTAGAGTATTGAGACCTTTTTTTACATAACTATAATATTCAAAAGGTTCCTAGTCATAGGATTGTCATAATGACACTGACAATCTAGATAGACTAGTACGTACTATGTCTGCTTCAATTGGAATGATGGAAAGTCTCAAGCCATTCATGTAGGGATACTAAGACAAGTATGTACGTGCTTGTTAAGGGAATGAGTCCACTAAACACAATCAAACGAGAGTACTTGCATGGAGGTCTACTTACATTTCAAGCAAGTAACTCTACTAGTTAGAATAATGTAAGTAATCATTTGACCTGAGACATCATAGTTGTCCAATGGTTACGTCCTTGATTTTTTATGGTGTCAAAGGCATTCCATTCGAGAGTGTCCACGACATTATTATGGTAAAGCTGCCTAGTCATGTAGACATGTGAATGTTCAACAAGGAATCTCTAATCCTCAATACGAGGAAAAATACTCTAAGATATGATTTAGAAATTTTCGGCCGAAGTATCAAGTGTAATGATGGAAGGCATTCCTATATGGCTCAATTGAATCATATAACATAGTATAATCACATTAGGGAGTATAATCACATTAGGGTTTTGACATAAATTATCCATACCCTAGTAATATAATTGAGAGTATTGATTTAGACAATTATCGAATTACATTGTAAATCCAACTGAATAGGTTCTCCGACGAAATTATGTTAGCTTGGGTAGCCTTGATATATGGTTAGATGTCACTCATGACTTGTAGGTCCTTCTAGATGATTAAATAAGTAGTCATCAAAGTAGAAGGAGAATTAAAAGTAAGTTTTAATTCACTAAGTGATTGTACAAGTACTATTCAATTGGATTGATACCAATCATCTCATTGCCTCACTAATTGGAACCTAAAACGATTATACATCGATACACCCGTGTGATGAGATAACTAAAGGATGATGAAATTAATTAATTAATTAAGTTTTATGATTAATTAGAAAGTCTAAATAAATCATAGAAGGGATGAAAGATTATTTTTGGGATTAAATATAGTTCGGGTTCTTTCGAGCTCATTGGGCCCAAACCACAAGCATTGGATGACTTGGAAAAGAAAAAGGCCCAAGAAGAAAGCCTAGCACAAGGGGGCGGCTGCCTTAGACAAAGAGGGAGAGATTGACTTCACTTCACCTTATAAGGTGTGTTAAGGGAAAAAGTTTTTGTGTGAGTCCTTCTAGCCTCAATAGAAAACAACTCTCTGTCTCTCTTTTCTCATACAAGGGTGGCCACCAAAGGGAGAGTTAACTAATCATCTCTTTTCCTTTTGGTTATTCATTCATCCATCTCACTACACTAGTGAGTGTGGATCTTTAGAGGTCTTCTACACTTGGAGGCTTAAGGGTACTGTTTGGTACGTCCCACATTTAGTGCGCCAAATTGCTTAGGACGCGTTGTCCCGTGGAACGAATTATAGTCATTTTTTTGCACCACCCTCCCCTTGAAACGGACTTGTTCCATCCCATTGAACACAAAATGATGGTTTTTTAGACAACAATACATGTTCTCTTCTTCATTAATTCCACTGTCTACTCTATCTCTCTCATTGCCTCCCTCTTTTCTACCATATATCTCTCTCATGTAGCATTTTCCTCCACCACAAACCCCACAAACCCAGCAACCCAACAACCCAACCATGGCTAACCCAATCCTAGAAAACCCATCCGAACCCAACCCCTATGTTCCTCCCGCCGCCTCCCTCATCCCTGCTAGTCCCACAACGAGAGCGTTGCTCTTCACTGCGAAAACCTTAAAGCCACCCACTAGAAGGATGTGGCCGACGCCGTCACTCGACGATGCCTTGTTGCTTCTCCGACTTAACACCCCTTGAAGTCCTGATTCAACATCAAGAGGGGAGGTATATCTATGATTGAGTACATAAACAAATAATTAGAAATTTTATTTCTTCAAAAACTCTTGAATTCTGCTCCAATGAAGACTAAATTAAGAGTTTCGATTGGATGACAGAGGTTGCAGTTTCGAGTGAGTGGTCGACATTTTTATGGGCCGTGGATCTAGTCCCTTGATGCTAATAGAGAATCTAGATCGCCAGGGAGAGAAGGAAAGAATATTGCGGTCCTGCAGATAAAGAGAATGGAGAGAGAGATCTGGAGAGATCTTAGTTCGAGAAGCTAAGATACAGGGACCAAATCCCTGGGGTTGAGTGGATGAATACGTTTGTCATTTAATCCTTCATGCCATTCCATCATCCGCGTATCAAACACAGAACAGAATAACTGTCCAATTCCGTCTTGCGCATACCAAACGTAGCATGGAACTTCCGTTCCGTTCCATTCAATTTCGTCTCGTCATTGTTTGTTTAGCTCAAATCATATTTTACAATATTAGGAATTAATTTTTGTAAATAATAATTTGTTTAATAAAAACAAGTAGCATATGTTGGATTCAGTTTTGGTCAATTATCTGAGAATACACAACCATGAACCAACAGGTCATGTTGACACAGAGTTTATAACTTAAGCTGTTAGAAATATTTATTTTGTACTTTTATAGACTACAATTCTATTTATCTTATTTTGATATCGCGCATGTAACATTTAAGCTAAATATTTACTTAAAAACATGTCGTGTTAATCGAATTGACTACAATAATTATTAGTAGTACAATCTAATGGTGTAATGCTCACCCAATGAGGAAATTTGGAAAATAACCATATTTTGGATTCTATATAAAATTATAACCACATTTTAAAGTTTATAATAATTATAACTAAAATTGGATATGTAAGTACTAATATATCTTTAATGATTAGAATCCTCATGTTTTGCTCTTAACGGTGAACTAAGGGTTTGTAACTATAAGGGTCTCCTCAGCCTAACAATACTTGACTACTCAAAGATGAGTATGGACTCCTACTCAAAAAATTTCAAAATTGTTCGTTGTCAATTTATAGAATTTCGTGCTTATAATCAGAACCGTTCATATTATAAATCACCATATAAAGATCGCCTCTGCAAAAAATCAATTAAAACTAAGGTCATTTAGGCATCAAACTATTTAAAAACAAATGAACGGTATTGGTAAAAGCATTATAAACCATCTATGTATTTGTTACAATAGATTGACTAAACGACCTTAATTTTAATTTATTTTTTACAAAGATGATCTTTACAATGTGATTCATAGTATGAACAGTTCTGAATTCTGATCATAAGCATAAAGTTCCACAATTAAAATACTAAGAATTTTGAGTAGAAGTTCCTACTCATCTTTGAGTATTCAAGTATTGTTCTCCTCAGCCGCCGCCATGACTTTAATTATTCTGCAATTTGAAACTGAATTTTCATACAGTTAAAGAAGAAGAGGAGGAAAATGGTTCGTATTTGGACGTTGGAGGATAGTGGGAAAAGGTTGGTGTTTGGAAATAATACAAAAGGTTGGGGTGGCGGCGACATTAGGTGTCGTGCCGGCAGAGCACTAGCCAAACTCAAAGGGGAACTCAGATTCTCTCCATATCACCCTCTTCGGAACTAATCTAGACCAATCAATATCAATCGATCAAGACTAATCGTGCGGTCAAAACTAAAACTTTTGAAGGACCTGGATCCTCTTTGGCTCCTTATCTGCGGATCTCGTAGTGATGAATTCATCTAAACTGTTGGATACACATCCTACGGGCATAATTCATTTTGAATATTTTATTTTTTTTTCCAGCTTGCACGCACCAAGCAAGGTTTCTCTTTGTTTCATCATTTTGGTCAGCTGGTTGGCTTCTTCATCCCCATACCTATGCATTCCTTTTTATTTTGTTTGCACCGCCTGGGGCAGCATAGATCTTGGTCACAGAGATGGATGCATTGAGGGGCATCGGGGTTAGCTGACCCTTGAACTCAGTGAA